ATAGACACAGTATATACAGATACAAGATTGGCCGTTGGAACGAGAATACAGTATATTTTCAAAGCTAGAATTAATATCTAGACCCCCCCCCCCGCATTAGGTACCGAGCGTGTCGTTAATTCGCAAAAGGCTCATCGGAGGTCTCCGTTCTGTTATTATTTTAGTACGCTCAGAGCGGCGCTGGCATACCTGGTGCCTTACATAACCTAGATTAACAGTCACGTTGAGGAGCAAGAAGAGGGTACCTGCTTTCGAGTGAGGATGACGCATGAGTTAGACAAGGAGAGAGAGATAGGTAGGAAGGAGAGTGATGTTGGATTGAGAGAGAGGTAATAAGTGAAAGAGAGATATAGAAGGATGAAGTAAAAGAGAAGGTAGAATAAAGTGAGTCTCCTGGTAGTGTTCTCGTACCTTCTAGGCATAGCCAGGACTCTACTAGCCGCACACAGCCTTGCTATAGAGTATAGGTATAGCTGCTGTGCTTACTGCGCTGAGCAGAAGAGAGCAGAGATCACGGGATCGGCCGTGGGAACAAGGAGGCCCCTCCTGCATGGAATACTCCCCAGAACACAGAAAATTACACGAACTTCCGTACAACGGCTTCGTCTCTCCCGTCGAGTCTATGCGTCGAGTAACCCGCCGCCATCGCGTGCTCGACGCTTTATTTATATCTGGACACGTGTTTCTCCTATGCAGGAGAGATATATCTCTTTTTATATGAAGTCAATATATTTGAATAGCGAACAGTCGTCGCTTACCAGGGACAGTTGTCAACTTTTGTCCTTTCTTTTTATTTCACGTTATCCGATGGGCTCTCACGTGCAAACTGCTTTACCGGTAGGATGTTTTGACTAGCGCCAACTAGGCTTGTTATTCCATACCGACGGTCTACGAAAACATTGCTCCTCTTGCGTGTGGTTTCCCCGCGTCGGGAGCCAGGGAATTATAAGTCCAAGGAGGAAAAGTCGAGTGAGCGTCGTCGCCGGGTTCTAGAAGCTTCGAGAAAATTCAGTACGTTAGGACAACGGGGGGGATTGTACGTAAATGGCAGACAGCTTCCTCGATAAGTGTGTCACGAGTTTCCCACGAGGTGTTACGAACCTTTCCGAGTCCCGAGTACGACGAATGCGAACGGCAGCAACAAGCGATTGCAATTTGTCAGGTTATTCCCGTGATTTTCGATGAAACTGTCCCCGCGTGATCGCCGAACGTCGGTGGATTCGAAACGGAGAAAAAAATATTCGAAAGTGATTGAGGTCTGTTTTTTTTGTGGTTTAAAAAAATATTTTTACCAACAATTGTGACAATCCTCACGAGGTACGACGGGTTTGTTTCGTAAATGGCGTTTGTGGTGTCTGTGAATTAGTCAAGTCGTTAATACACGCTCCATTACTTCTAGTGGAGCACTAGTGAGAGAAGGGGGGGGGGGGGGGGGGGGGCCCCAAA